AATAATTTTTAAAAATAAAAAATTAAATATATCAAAATAAAGGAGTTACAGGCAACCCATTCTAACCATTGATGGATCTTAACAAGTGAAGTTAAGGGCAATCATTTTATAACTATTGATAAAGGAGTAGACCTTTGATATTAAGACATACCCCTCCATCAATGTTAAAAAAAAGTACAAAACTGTAAGTGTGCATTCTCTTATTTAAAAATTGTTCATCTAGTTTTTGCAACTTACCAAAACTGTTGTTTTTAGTTTTCAAAATAAAAAATTTTCTATAAAGATATTAAACAGATCATAAAATATCATTAAAAAAAAGATTTTAATTTTAGACTAAAAAAAATTGTCAATTTGCCAAAAAAAAAAAAAAGGGAATGAACTAATTATGTCCCTAAATGTCACCAACTAATTGTTATTTTTATGACTCAATTGGTTAATAATTTGAAATTTTAAATTCAAATTTTAAATTAAGTAGGGAATTTAGGAAAAGTAAAGCTAATGCTATCCACTCTCGTATAATCAATTATCTTACGTTCTAAAAAGGGAAATCATCATGTGATCAATTAGATAGTAATAATTTAGAATGCATTGAGTATTTTTCATCAATATTGAAGATGACAAAAATGTTGTTAATGGAATGTTTAATTATATATTTGGGTTGAGGGGAGGGGAGGAAAATTATAATATTTTAAAAATGTTATAATTTGATTAATTAAAAAACTTTCTCTTTTTTCTTCTCCCCTCCATTCCCTTCAACGTAAACATGTTATAGGTTGGTTGGTGATTAAGGGAGTAAAACAGCAATTTTTTGATTAAGGGGTAAAATAGCAAGTGGGAGGCAATCAATCCTAGCCAAATGATCCTAGACATTGTAAAAGCCCGAGTACTCTAAACACGCAAGGTTCACGACTTTCCTACAGTCACGTTGTTTATGAGAGTACTGTTGTTTATTTTTATTGTTAATTTCTTTGCTTCATGTCTTCTATTGCATTGGTTTATTATACTTAAACCATGTAGTTTAATTAATGTAATATTCATGATATATACTTCAATTTTTCATATCTTATCCATCTTTTTTTTTTTTTTTTCTCTTGTATACTTTTTTGTAATTAATTAGTATTTAAAAGTAAAATGATATTCTTACTTACATTTTAAGTAATTAAAGGGAAAATATATAAAAAATGAATTAAAAAAAATACTTTCCTAATAAGAAAGAATGTTCTTTC